TATATATATATATATAATTTCCCTTTTACTTGTACATGTGTTTGTGTCTCTTAAATGATTATATTTAATTTTTTAATGATTTTTCCTACAAGTCTTTTTATTTCCATGTGCTGCTTTTACATGTCTCTGTCTCCTGTTTTTACTTTACCTTATGCATTTCTACCTTGTTATGCAAATAAGTTGGGCGGAGCTTCTTGGGTCAGCTCCTCTCCTATTGGTCAACAGACCAGTAGGAGCAGGATCCATGTGCAGATCTGTGCAGTTTTAAAGTTTAGTTTAAAGAAAGCGATTGTGTTTGTTCTTTCTGGTTTGCAGTCCTTTGATATTTGTGGACGAATGTCAGCTCTCCGTAAGGCCTTGGTCATTCTCTGCAGCTCCCAGGTTAAGTACTGATTATATATATATATATATTTTAACATGAGATTTTAGCGGAATCGATTTCTTTAGTTTGATTCTTTAATTTGTGTTTTTGACCCGTCCAGAGCTACGAGGTGAGGGCCAGCAGTCAGCAGTGCAGCGAGGCAGGGGACGTCTGCGCCATTTGTCAGACTGACTTCAAAGACCCCATCGCTCTGATCTGTCAGGTAAGAAGGGTCATATTTAACAATGAACTGAAAGTGATGCACGGGTGCTTAAAGATAAGCAGTGATAAGCATAATAGATTGTGATAGAGTGCCCCCTGTTGATTGAAAGAGCTGCTTGATGTCAAAGGTGCTCTGCTGTCAGTTCAATGTGTTTTTCAAACTTTTCAAATCATCTGTAAGAACAAAAAAGGTAGATAAATATCCTGTTTTAGAACCAAAAAAAACTGATTCTGTTTGAGCTTTATTGGAGTTTTACAATTATTGTGCTTCAGCCTCAGAAATTCTGCTTCTTTTATTGAATAAAAAAAAAACTTTAGACTTTGTTAAGGCTTTTATTTATTCAGTTAGTCTCATTATGATTATTGAATAAGAGTATATTAATGTTTGGACTCTGAAGTCTGATTGTGTCTCTTTGGTGGTTAAAATAGATTTACTGTACATGTCACATAAATACTAATTATGTGACATGTAAATCTATTTTTAAATCTAATTATTAATTAGACTGCTAAGATAAGATATTGAGGAGTTATTTTCTAGATATCACATGTGCGTCCTAAATAAATAAATAATCTCAGTAACTTCCTGTAAAATCGGTTTCTTTTAATCCCAAATGCAGCTTTTATCACACGTCAAACTCGGTTGCTGTGAAAAGAAATGGGTGTGTGCGCTGTGTTCCTCTGCAGCACGTGTTCTGCGAGGACTGCCTGTGTTTGTGGTTCGACCGCGAGAGGACGTGCCCGCTGTGTCGCGCCACCATCATCGAGACCCTGCGGTGCTGGAAGGACGGCACCACCTCCGCTCACTTCCAGATCTACTGACAGCCGACAGACTGGTCTGTCCTACGAAGCAAGTCCGACTGTAAAGTGGTCAGAATTTAACTGAATCAGGGTGAGCATTAAAGCAGTAATAAACAATAAAGACATGCTTCGCTTCAAGATAATCATCGCCATTTATGAAATCAAAGATTTAAAAAAAAGGTTTTCCCAAACTGTATTAAATAATAAAGCAGTTTGAGTTTACTCCTGAAGTTTTCCAGATAAACAAATATGGGATTCTGAAATGCAGGTACGCATTCAGTGTAAACAAAGCACTTTAATCTGCATATTTTAATATACCAATCTGAACTTGCATACCAGAACATCAAAATTGTGAGGTTTCTCTATCCTAAATTTGTGTTTTTACTTGCCTTTTTAAATTTTATTTTATTTGTACAAAATTTCATTATATTTAGTGAGTACTTTGTGTCACTTGTTGCTTTAAGTTTATCTGTTTAAGCGCTTTAAAGGTGACATATAATGCAAAATCCACTTTTTTAGCTGTTAAATACATTTTGTTGTGTAATTAGTGTCTCTAGGAGGCAAAAAAGTTGAACTGAGTTTTTCCTGATACTGCGTTTGGGTCATATGTTTCTCTTTTTTTCTATGACATTTTCTGAACTATTTGCGAAGGAATTTTTTTAAACTTTCACCAACTACAATTTTGTTGTCATCATTATTACTGTTGTCTCTTGTTGACATCATTTAATTCATTTGTGAAAAAAAAAACGTGGGTGTGAAGCACCTTGTTTGGATTTAAAGAGGCAGCACCAAAACAAGTTGATCTGAGACACGCCTCAGAAAAGGGGCGGGGCTTGAGGAGTTAAGATGAGGAGAAATTTAGACCAAATCATTGCAGTTCCACCTCATATAGACCCCGACTGAAGGATTTAAATGTGAAAAAGAAGGCTATGTCTTATTTAAATTATTTAACATTTATTCTAGTCACATTGTGATCTCTTTACTGTGGTGATAAAGTTGCACAAGCCTCATATTTGTATTCTTTATGGCTTTGTCATGCATATTATTTGAATGTATGTATTTGTACAGTTTATATTTATTAATATAATTTTGAATTGGGCCTTTTTGTCATTTAAATGCAACTCCGGTTCTAATAACGTTGGGACGTTGTTTTAAAATGTAAATTTAAAGTATTTTATACACAAGAAGAGTTTGTAAACATACCAGAAAATCTTGAATTTATGATCAGCATAACTCAAAAAAAAAAAAAAACATTGAAAGAGGAGCAATAAAAGCTATTTTATTGAGGCTGAATCTCTTCGAAGCAAAGCTTGCCAGAAGTCTGTGGAAAAACTGAACTGTATTAATGCAAGGTGGTATTTTCTCAAATTAAACCATTGCTTCACCTTTTTTGATGTAAACAAGCAACAATGATTACAACGATTCATGTTAAGTGTACGAATAAAAGACACAAATGTGATAAATCTCAGTAAAAGTGTTTATTATCATGACTGCTAAAAACCCATTAGAAATATTTTACACATGAAAAAGCACATTAAATATAAAACACGTTACACTTGATATATCAGAGACAGCTTATTCTCAGGACTGACAGATAGAAGAGCTTCCAGTGTACAGGTCCAGCATTTCATGATCAAAAAAGCTACATATGACAGCCCCGACAGGTGATAGTTAAGCATACACAACATCATCCAAACAATGTAGAAAACACATAAAATTCCCTCGTTATTTACATGTTTGCACAGATTATAGCTTATATTTGAACAAATAAGAACAGTGCATTGCGCGGCTTATAAACGGGTGCATTTCAGTGCATTATTAAAAACTGCTGCAGTGACTGCAGCCTAAATCCTGCAGGTCTGACATAAACAGCGGCGCAGTAGAAAAACATTCAAAGCAGAACCATTAGTAAGCTTTTCCTCCGTGCTACCAGGGGAGGATTACATCACCGTTTTGTTGTGTAAATGGGGATGACAGAATCGGGGGGAGTGATGCAGGTGGGGGGGGTGGAGGACTGACTGGATGAGTCTGCCGTCAGCTCGAACCCACGTCCGTTCTGGACCTCCAGGGAGTCGGCACCGACCCCGAAACACCAAATTAAGGCCGCTTCTCCCCTCCCTCCTCCTCCTCCTCCTCCTTCTTTCAGACCAGAATTTTTTCAGTCAGGACAGCATCCTTTGACTCTCCTGCATCCGTCTGATCTGAGCCCTTTGCTCCTGCGCATGCGCTATTTTAAAGGCACCATCTGCAACAAGAGACAGAAAACAAATTCAGAAATATGTGGTCCTCCATTAAAATGATTACTGCATATTTAGTCTCCAGCTCATACAAATTATAGAATAGAATAGAATAGAATAGAATAGAATAGAATAGAATAGAATAGAATAGAAT